TTCCGATGTTTATTTTATTTGATAACCAGTCTTGATCCTTAATGTCAATCCTCTAGCAGAGCGATTTTCATAAAAGTAAAATTCGATTTGGTATTGAGTCTTGACCCATAATGTTAATCTTTTAACCATTAGAACAAATCACTAGACCACACATTTACCATGGTTATAGTAACACTGGACTCTTGTATCTTGAATAGAATACAGTCTTGGAGTCTTGGACAAAGCACAAAATCGTTTATTAATATTTGGTACATAAATAACATTGTTCTTTTGTTTTGGTCGAAATGAGGATAATCAAAAGTGATCCCCAAGAATATCTCTGATAAAATCTCTTGTAGCCACCATAGAAGATCCACCATCACCAACAGCTTTCCTTGCCATTATCGAAATCTCTTTAACCTTCTTCCTAATCAAGTTATCAACATCCATCAAAGATCGTACGGCTATGGCTATTTCATTAGCCGAAACAATCTCCAACGTTACCCTATCACCGTCCGCCATGTAATCAAGCCTTATCTCCACGGCTAAGCCAAGCTCCTTCACCATCTCGAACGCATTGAGCTGTTGCTCCGCATACATCGGCCACGTGGCGATCGGTACACCGTACCATAGACTCTCTTGTATTGAATTCCACCCACAATGAGACACGAATCCACCTGTTGCCTTATGGGCCAAGATATCCACTTGTGGGGCCCAACTACACACGATTCCACGGCCCATTGTTCGGTCGACGAATCCTTCTGGAAGCGGCTCGTAAGGATCGCCTTCTCCGGCCATGTTCGTACGGACCGCCCAGATAAACCTAAGCCCGACGAGCTCGAGCGCGTGAGCTATCTCTTTGATCTGAGGTGCACTGAACACTCCCATGCTCCCGAAACACAGGAACAAAACCGAAGACTCCGGTTGCTCGTCTAGCCACTTCATCATCTCTTCGTATTGGACCGAAGCTAAACCCGGATTCGTACGGCCGGTTAAGTTGAGAACCGGCCCAACAGGAAACGTACGAGGGTAATCTCGTCCTTGACAAAAATATTCAGCAGCATATGGCTCGACTTCAGTGAACGAATTTACTAAAATACCCTTGGCTTCTGGTAATCGCTCTCCAATTTTGATCAGACTTTCGTAAGAGAGTTTGTCGAAAACGCCAGACGGCAGTACCTTGGCCGGAACAAGATTCGTGAACGCCGGAATCTGTAACTCTTCATCGCCGGAGCTAAACTCCGACGAGATCAAACGATGTCGTTCCGGGAGATACTGAAGAAACCCCAAGAAACCGAAGTTGGAAGTCATGAAGATATACGAAGGAAGGTTTACCTCAAGGCCTATATCGATCAAACCGACGCAGAAGAAATCAAGAATCAGTCCAACGACATGAGTTGAATCTTCTCCGGACGATGATGAGACCAAATCTTGAATGGTTTTTCTGAGAGTTGGTATGTTTTTGTCGATGAAGTCGAGGATGTAAGTCTCGGAGGAAGTGTCGAGAAGCTTGATCGGAGGTGGGTCTTGGATCTCTGGGAGGCAAATGAGTCGGATTCCGGGCACGGAGGCGGTGAGAGATGCGAGAGAAGCGTCGGCGTCAGGAGCGTAAGGGAGTTTCATGGAGAGGATTGTAATCATGGAAATTCGATGGTCAAGATTGAGCAGGCGCTTACCGAACTCGATCGTCGACAAGAGATGGCCGGTCTCCGGCAGAGGAATGAATAGTAGCTCTGCTTTCTTCATCTCTCACTACTTTTTTTCTTTTTCTTTATGGGTTATTCTTATTCAAAGAAAATGAAGCACAAAGTAGAGTATTTTCTTTCTGATATGGTATGATAAATTAATGGTAGTGGAGTCGGATGTGATCAAGTGGATATAAAGAACAAAAAGAATATTATAAATAATCAGCCATTGGGGTGGTCGAACATTTTGACTCAAAAATGAAGTAGTAGTACATAGTCTTTTTTGGACCAACAAGATCCACTCTTGCTGAGCATACAAAAATGGAACAATATATACATTAGTTGTCCGAATCTTTCCATTATATTATAGTTATTAGTTGTTCGATCTGACTTTCTCTATTAGATATTTAGAGATGGATAGGTATTTTACCACCAAAAAAGTTTATCCAAATTCGTTAGCTAATAGGCTCCTAAAAAACATAGTAGCACTAGTATAGATCATCTGGTCGACTGTATTCGTAGAAACATATTCGGAGAGGCAGACAAATATTGTTTTAATGTTTTTCTCTTTCTCTTTTATCTTTTTCGTGTTAATCAACCTTCAACTCATCCATCACTTCCGTAGCTCCATCTCGACTTTAAGTCCATAAATAAACATATCAAAACATAACAAAACGGACGAATCTTGGATAGTGCAAGGTCAAGGGAATAAATGAGGGAATGCATTATATATCAAAATGGGAATATGTCAAGGAGAGGAGCTAATCACTCTTTTATTGCAAAACGCCAAAACCCTTATAGATATTTTGAGCCATTGTTTTTGTTTTGTTTTGGGGTAAAATGTTAAGATTTTGAGCCATTGTTTGTTCATCGTTGAATTCTTGTACTTGTTTAGG